GGAGTTCACCCCGCCAGCGGGTTACCCCTGATTTTCCTCTGTACCTAGTCTCCTTTGTAATTCGACCAAGAATATTTTACCTTTTTCTTTCCCCGCTCCCCCTCTAGCCCGCCCCCCCCCTTCCAAAGCAGACATGTAACTGAAACAAAATTGCCTGGAAAAATAAAACTCCATGGAAACGCACGTACTGGTGTTGCTAATGAAGCAGAATGGACTGGTGTTGGCGGTCGCCGCGCATAAACATTACGATTTCAGCTCTGAAAAAGCGAGAGATTGGCTAACGATTCTCAAGACGTTGCAACTTCAGCTCTTAAACTTGTCCTCCACCTCTAGAGCATTTACACTGCGTAACTGGGCAGGCCTGCCTCAGAAGGCTAAAATCACCCTCGAAGACTAGATACTGTTCACAAATTAAAGTTTCAAGTCTTATAATCACGACAAAATGGCCAAATACTATTTTTGGAAAGACTTACAGTAGGTGGTTTCATACTGAATTAGTTCCCCTAGGTTGGCACCCTAAGCATAAAGGATAAAAGGATAAAAGATTCAGCTTCATAGTACTGTCATCATCACTGAAGGGCACGAGTGCCCTCGTTACATATTTTTCAGTGGTAGATGAGATAAATGTCATCTTTGGACGTGGATGAAATGTTGCATGTTCACACTTCCATACTCTCGCTTTCCGCCCCAGCCGTGCCCCTTCCCAGCAAGATGGGAGGGCCGAGAGGAAGGGTGCGAGAGGCACCCCTACAGACTTCATTTCACATTTCTTTCAGCCTCAGAATTGAAACTTTTATCAACCCTCTGCTGACCTGGCTTTCTCACAGCAAGGTAGATGGGATTTGGGAGACCACAGCTTCCAAAAATCGTACAGACCTAATGGATTCGTCTTCTGTGCTGTGAAAGGGTTGTTGCAAGTCAACCCGTGTCCTGGTGTCTCCAGTTTCAGTGGTGCCAGTGTAAAACTGTCTTAGGTAGAAAGTGTTCTCCACTCCCTGTCCCAAACCGCGCTGTGAAAGAGATAAAGCTGTCCTGGACAGTGGGGTGTATGATGGCAGGAAAAGGCTCTTCAGGAATCAGTCCTACTCAATGCACAGAGCTGCTTGGAGAAGTAATTAAATCACATTTACCCATTATTTTAAGATTAGTGCTTTTTGTTAAGATGATGAAAACTGAACTATGTTCAAGTCTACGCTTAGGGTCATTAAGGCTTTTTCACCAAGAAACATGCAGGGTGCTATCTGGCCTTTCATGAGCATGTCCATGATACCTTTTGTGTCAAATCATGGAAGAATTCAGAATAGATTTTGTTACTCAGACTAAAGACAGCCAAATTATGATGCACATTTGTGAGTTTTTTGGCCCCGCAGCCGTGCCAGAGCTGACAGAAGATGGCTTCTTTCATACACAGGGAATGTTTCAGCATAAGGATTTTAGGAAGTTTCGTATTTTCCCCTTTCAATACATTTTTAGCAACACCTGAAGAGACACCAGTGAAGCTGAAGACAACGGAAAGCTATCTCAGATGAGGCTCTTTCAAGTCAGCTTGTAAGATGTGATAGTTACCAAGACATTCGGCAACACATAATGGAAGATGAATCAAAAGTAATTTATATACGTTCCTTTTTGTTCCACTCACCAGACACAGAAGACGGTACCACAGGTCACGTGAAGCAGTTATATCATTACAATAACATCCTTTCTGTACTACAGAGAGCACATTCCTAAGATCACTAATCATTAGCGGTATTTGTGGTGTATTGGAAAAATCACTCCTTGGGTAATTTGTGGCTTACTACTGCCATGCATTAACAGGAGCATCTAAACATGTTACACCTAAATCAATAACAGTCTTTGGCTGACCTCATACAGATTTTGTCTTGTGTTATTGTCTGTTGTGGAGGCTGCGTGTGGTATTTTGTTAGCTGGATTTGGCAGTTCTAAAAGTTTTCATTTGTTTATGTGAACAGGATATTTGGATTTGTGAAGGAGTTGATTTCTAAAAGGGATGGGAAAACTCGTAGCAATTCCCAGATTTGCCTAATCTGTCTTGGAAGTTTGTCCCAAAGCCACATTCCCTGACCACAAATGCTTTATGTGGAGCCCTAGGATACTTATTTTGCAAAGGGAACAGTATCCTGATGGAAGTGGTGGCAAAATATGAATGCTTCTCACTCTAAATGCCTTAAAGATTTGTAGATTCTATAGAATTAGGTACATCGTTCCATTGGCAATGCAACTGTCTGGATGGCTTGTCTTAATACACACTTACTTTTTACACCACAGAAATATCCGAAGAATTAGATAAATCCAGATGGTCTCCCTGAGTTTCAGAATCTTCCTTCTTCTAAGAAGATTTCAGCACAAAACAAGTTTAATTAAACCAGTTGCACAGTACTGCACATTTCAGGCTGTAAGGGTTCCCAGGCATCTCCTCCTGGGGAAACAGTATGTAAGGACTACATTTCAGTTTGTGACTTACAACTATCCCTGTTGTTCAATCAAAAAAGATACCAAATTAAAATGTTTTGGAAAGCAAATGTAAACCCTGTATCATAGAATATCAGTATCATGAGGCTAGTTGCCAGCAAATATTAAGAAATGAACACAAATAATTTCCTTTCAAGAGAGTAGGACAGAAGCTCAAACTGACTTCTTAATGCTGATGTAAGAATGCTTAGCCAACCAAACATTTCTGCAATGTTTCCTTCCCGTTAGTAGAACCTTCCAGAAGTAAATGAAATGATCACCTCCACCTGGTTCACTCTTTTCCCTTGAGAGACTTCCGGTCCACAGTGCTGCTTTCCCACCCTGGCTCCTTCTGTTATTGCATTTCAAAAGCTCCATTCAGCTGCAGGGCAGGGCTCTATTCAGAGGGACCTGGACAGGCTGGAGAAATGGGCTGACTGGAACCTCATGGAGTCCAACAGGGGCAAGTGCAAGCTCTTGCATCAGGGAGGGAATAACCGTATGCCACGTTACCGGCTAGGGGGCTGACTGCCTAGGAAGCTGCTCTGCAGAAAAGGATCTGGGGACCGTAGTGGACAGCAAGTTGAACATGAGTCAGCAGTGTGCCCTTGCAGCAAAGAGGGTCAACAGCATCCTGGGCTGTATTACGGAGAAGCCCAAGGGCCAGCAGGGCCAACCAGGCCAGTGAAATAGTCCTTCTGCTCAGCACTTGTAAGTCCACATCTGGAGTACTGTGTCCAGGTTTGGGTTCCCCACAGTGCGAGAAGGATATTGACATACTGGAGGGAGTCCAGCGGAGGGCCACGGAGACAGACAGGGGCTGGAGTATATGATGTACGAGGAGAGGCTGAGAGAGCTGGACCTCTTCTGCTTGGCGAAGAAAAGGCTGAGAGGAGACCTTGTTGCTATCTATAACTACCTGATCAGAGGATACAGAGAAAATGGAGCTAGACTCTTCTCGGAGATGAGTTTCTCAGCGATAGCGCAAGAGGAAATGAGACAAAAGTTGGGACATGGGAAATTCCATATTCGAGATAATAGGAAAAAAATTCCACCAGGGGGGTGGGTAGTCAGACACTGGAACAGGTTGCCCAGAGAAGTTGTTAACTCTCCATTTTCGGAGGCATTCAAGACTCGATTGGACTCAGACCTGAACAACCTGATCTGATCAGACTTGTTTTGAGCAAGCGTTGCACTAGGTAACCTCTGGAGGTCCCCTCTGACCTAAATTATGACTCTTTGATTCTAAAGTACTAGATAGCATACTATCAGGAAGACTCCTGCACTGACAGCGGATGTACTAAACGAGAAAAAAAAAATCTCTTGTTCTCCAGTTTCTGTAGTTTCTTATCTGTGTTCTCTAATTGAAATAAGGATTTATTCTGAGAAAGTTGATTCTTCTGCACTTGAAGAAAAGGAATAATACATTTAAAACAGATAAATTATTGAATTCTTTCACCACATTAACACTCTTTTTTGCCTCCATTTTCTTATCCCTTAAGCTGTAAAGCTTTAAATCTCACATATGCCAACAGATTTGTTCGGTGACAATAAGTATAAAGGCCCACCCACCAAGCTAATAGAAGTGCTATACCGGCATCTCAGGGTAGTAGGTCTCCTTTTTGATATTAGCAGACACCTGGAAAGTTATTACTAGAACTGCTCCCAGATAATCACTCGTGACCAAGTCCAGATTCATACTCAGGTTCGCCGTTTTTCGCTGGTTATTATTAGTTCACTTTACTTCTTTTTCAGAAAACAAACTCCAGTGCTTATGATGGGATTCCAGCCAAAAGAATTATGTTATTTGCCTAATGAGTACATCAAATGTTATCTTAGAGTTGTTTAGATTACAGCTGCAGTGGCAGTATAGTGAAATTTGGCTGATGAATTTAGAGCTCTTAACACCAGAAAAACATGAGACAAAAGCGTGTCTATTACACATTAAGTTTGCAGAAGTGCTTTTTAAAAAATCCACTATATAGGTTTGATCTTGCAGTCTGCTGAGAAAACATATTTAAGTATGCAAATAATTTTAAGCATGTAATACTTACAATTAAATTAAACTGCAGAATTCTCTTTAGACCAAATGTTTTTCAGTATTTACCAAGAGTTTACTAAGAGTAAAGTTCACTCCAGGGCAGAGGGCCTGAATAAGGTCTTCTGCTCTATTAGTTTGTCCTAGTATTCTTGTAAAGCTGTTAATTAAATAAACAGTCCTGGACACTATGAACCATCCAGCAGGTATACTGACAAAGCAAGCTTTTTTATCACAATATAGGGATGTCTTGATCACACTCTGAAAAGATCATTTAATGCTACAGGAATGGTTTAATCTCTGCGTTCATAAGACTAGTAGCTTTTTTGGCTAAAAGTGGAGACATTAAGTGTCCTGTTGCCTGCTCACGAACAACTGAACCCAGCTCAGCAGGCTGCTTTGACATACGCCACGGAAAAAACACGCCACCTCTAAAACGGTCCAGGTTTCATAGTATATAAAGGGATTATTCATTGAAACATTGCTTTATAACTTAACAGCAACAACAACATCGCTGGAACAAAACCCCACTCATTTCTCATTTTTAATTGTTAAAGTAATTGAATTAAAACAGTACTGAAGCCACTGTTGAAATGGTTATCTTTTTCCTTTGCCATAATCCTGCTTTTTGGGAATCCCATTTTGATAAATATTTCCATAGCATTTTTCATTAAAAATCCAAAGAAGAACAATGAAGAATGGTGAATAATATAACTTACCATGAGTTCTAAAGAATGGAAACATCTTTGAAGCTTCAGGAGTTTATATGACATTTCAAGTGTTATTTTATTAACTGAAGTCACTACTAATCTACAGCCACGCTGAATGGTTCGTGCCCGATCTTGCAAACACTTCCAGAATCCCATAGTATGCTCTGTGGCAATAGCTAAATGCGTGGGGACAAAAGTTTCCAGGATATAGGTCTTAACTTTCATTATTACTGTTTATTCATTTCCATCTCCTTTTGCAGTTCTACTTTTTGCCATGGTTTTCAGTAAAAATCCTTCTAGTCCTCCCTCCATTCTCATTTTCTCTTTGTTCCCATGTTAACTGCCTATTATACTGATTTTTTTTAAGAACAACAACAACAACAAAGCCCTAGTTGCCCAGTGGATCTGATTTCATCCTTTCAGAAAGGAAAATGGGTATTGATTGTTTATTATTCCCATCAATGGATGTAATTAATCTCATCCTCACAAACACATTTAAAAACCACTATGATAGTTTTTCCAAGATTAATTTTTAATTTACTTTAGATAGGCACTTCACAATTGGATGTAAAGGACATTTATTTGATGCTCTACAGTTACTTGGTTGATGATTGTTTTGTGTTTTTAAATGAGAATAAGCCACTTTAAATTTAGTTCTGGGTTATTTCGGCAAGAAACATCTGTTAATTTTACTGGGCCTAAAAGTCATTTTCAGGGGAAAATTGGCATCATAAATTCCAAGAGCAATTTTCTTTTACATTTTTATTGCATTGTAAATGTGAAACAATTCAAAGATGCTGGGGAAAAAAATAAACTATTTTTGTTTATTTAAACATGGTAACATAGAGAAGGAAAATATTAGGCAGGATTTCAGACTGTCTTCTGCCCTTGAATCAGTTCATGTTTATTGGATCAATGCCCAGGGCTACTAAGATCCTTCAAGTAAAAACAGTCAGAAAAATGTTAAAGAGGAATTGTATGTTGTAATTATGGGTTTGGTACTCTTAAAAAAAAAAAAAAAAGCAGTATCTTGAAATACCGAGCAGCTTAAATTCCCTGGATGAAGTGAATGCTACAATTCAATGAAAGCTGAAGGAGGAGACTGTGATTACTGTAGGACTAATTTATCACTTAATCACAGGCAGGATTTTAATAATGGATTTCTCTCCCGTGGAAATGGAGAGCACACTTAAACTTAAGTTTGTAAGGATTTTGCTGAATCAGGATCCATGAGTCTGCTGGCTCAGTTACTTCCTTACAGCCCTTTGTTATTTTCTTTCTACTCTGCTGTTCTCTACATTCTTTTGAATATTTAGAATTTTTGTCAGGACCTTAGTTTTCTGTCTTAGCTTTGCTTCTTTTTTAAAAACATTGTTTGAAACAATCTCTCATGCGCAGTGCACCTTCGCCAAATTCCATATGTTGCCTATATCCTCTACTCTTCTTCACTGCCGGCATCTTTATGAATTCCTGCCTCTGATTTTTTTCAGTCATTGTACCAGGTTGAGTCATACGCTGATTCCTGCTTCCAATTCACCAACTAGTGCTAACTAGAGAAATATTAGACTTCTAGCTCCCCACAAGATGAAGCTTTTTACTGATATATTTACATGCTTGTAGAGAGCTGATCACATTTATGAAATTAGGAAAATGAGTAAGAGAACAGATAACCTTCATACACATTTTTAGGCCTTTTGATGAGGGTGAAAGAAGGGAATGAAGTGCTGCATGTTTCAAGTCTTTACTCCCAAACTAAAGAAAATACGGTATCCATACATCAAGGTCAGACGACAACTTAACATTTTGTAGTTATGTTTGTGCCTAATGTTTGTCTGCAGAGGAGCCTCAGATGTAAGCACAAACTTGAGGTAAGATTATGATGTTACAATCTGGGAGCTGCTAAAACAGTATCCGGAAGCTAAGGTCGAAAAGGTAGAACATCAGGCAAAATCTTCTGTTTCAGAAGGGAAGGCATGCTTTTGCTTTTGCAGATGAGATTAGTAATCTCTGTAGCAAAGAAGTTCAGTTTTTCAAGAGATTATATTTTGTCTGCTCTTAAAATTGTGAATCAGACCATGAACATATTGGTATCAGCCCTGTCTGTTCCAGATAAAGAATTTGGACAGCAGCCTAATTTTTTTTTTTTTGGCTGATTGATTGCAGTCCCACCAAAGCAAAGTGATCTGGGCTGAGCTGCAACCGCATCAGTACTGTGATGAGTAAAATGATTTGTAGTGAAAGGGAGAATCAAAGTGAGAAAATAAAGCCTAGGAACACCAGATCAGTGATAAAAGCTGATTATATATTTTGTATAGATTTAAGTAATGTATTGCTGGTGGACAGCCCTCACTATTTGGTGCTGAAGAAATATGAAGCTAGAACTGTAGGACAAAATGACTCAATTCAAATAAATTGGTGCATCTTTTAACTGAAGTAACAGAGAACTGTAACTTTAAATGGAGGGAAGGCCGAAAATAGTAAAAACGTCAAAAGAAATATTACACTATATTAGTAAAGACATACATGAAAATGAGAGCATATGATCAAATTTAGGGACTAAATAGGGCTGTTCTATATATAGTCCAACCTTTAGGCACAAGGCTAATGCTTCTCCTTGGAAAACAGCATTGCCAGTGACTATAAATCCCAGGAAATTTGTGCTGTTCTGTGTTGTTGCCAGCATTAGGATGTTGGCGAGCAATGACTGAGCTAGAGTTTCAAAGATCAAAATCCAAATGAGAAAAAAAAGAGAAAAAAGTTTGAATAGAAGAGTGAGTTTCTGGCAATTATGATTGTTGAAAGAATTTTTAAATATGGCCCAAATCAACCTAAAAGGTTGATAAAAATGAAGAAAGAAGAAAGACTCCCCATCCCTCTTCCTCCATCTTTTAAAAATACCACTGTGTTTTGGGCCCTAATATTTTTTGAAAGTTTATGACTGGCAGAACTCAGTTCCCCAGCCCTCTGTTTGCAGATGTATGAGGCAAAAACAACATGCACTCCTGTAAAAGCACAACACCACAGCTTCTCTGCCAACACAAGCCCCAATGTACTTCATGCAAGACTGAAGAAAAAATGAGGAAGATGTTAGTTTCTGCACATGATAGGAACAGATGACCTGGTAGCATCAAGCTCTCATTCTGGGACTGGATGTAAGTTATATGAATGCTAGTGAGAACCTTTTTGGAGAGGATCATGAAGAACTTGGACAGCCAGTTGTGGCAGATGTGAGGAAAAGAGATGCTAAGTTGGAGAACTGGCACCGTACAGAAATCTCTTTTTCCTTTATTGCAGCATTCTCTCAGTACAAGCTGCTGAAGGCTAGGTGCACTAAATCGTATTTTATGGGCAAACTTCAAGAGAAAGGGGCACCTAAGAGGATCAGATCTCCTCAAGGATGACCGTATTGAACACCGGAAGGTTAGAGCAGTAACCGTCAGGCTTCCTGAAAGGAGGCACAGCGACATGCATGCGTGCCTTTTTCCTGGGACAGACTGAACTGAGTGCGTATGTGCAACAAGTCTCTAATGTGACAGAGGAGGCATGGAGTCCTAGCCCTCTCTAGCACAGACAAAAGGTAAGGCATCCTGGTCAAAAATGTTGGGTAGGCGTGTAGTGGATACTTTTTCGTTTCTTCCTAAATGTGAGGAATATAAGCCTGCAGACACTTTTACATTGAGAAGAAAAATAGTGTCTTATCTGAGAAAACAGGAACATATGCTACATAGACTAGCTCAATAAAACGTTGCAGATCAGGAGGGTCTTTTCACTTGGTTTAGTGCTTAAAATAATACAATTAAGTACATGATTATATCTGAATGTAAGCAGAAATGTCGCAGCTTGGAATCCAATTCAGTTCGAGAGGGTGTCAAAAACTGGGATGTAAAAACATCCCAGTTCCCACCAAACCAACCACTTCTACCACTTCCCAAAAGGCAGTGAGTTCTACAC